GTGTATCTTGGGGAGGCCATAGAGCTTAGGGCATCTGGATGATTTTTTTCTGGGGATGATGTTCTGCTGGATCTCTTCACTGATGGGAGATGCTTTTATTTTGGATTTGGTGTTTTTTTTCTAGGTAGGTGGTGGGGTCAGTATTTAGAGGTTTGTAAGTGGGATCTTGGAGTAGGTTGGATAGTTTGGAGTGGTAGTCCAATGTGTTCATTACGACTGTAGTGTTGCCTTTGTCTGCTGGGAGAATGACTATGTTGCTGTCATTCCTCAGGTTGGTGAGTGCTTTTTGTTGTTCTCTGTGTAGGTTGCTTCTGGGTTGGTTGCTGGAGCAGACGACATTGGTGACTTCAAGTCTGATTTTGTTGGCTGCATCTGGGTTGATTTTGGTTAGGCTAGCTCTATGGCCTCCCCAAGATACACACTTATTTTATTTACTTCTCCAATAATCACAGCAATTATTAATATCAATAAATACAGAATATTGCAAGATAGTGTAGAAAGTTAGCACTCACCCCTCTCCCAGTATAATGAAATATTCTAGGAGATATTAAAAAGGCAGAATATTATATTTCCCTGGATGAGAAAAGGAGAAATATGTTTTTAAAGACAAAGCAGCTTCCTGCAGCTCCTTGCCACCCCTTCAGCTCCAGGGTAATGGGATTAAGACATGGCCCTCAGAACATGATAGGATTAGCCCCCTACCCATCTCCCCACGTGGCACCTGGGAAGATTGCATCATCCAGCAAAATTTAACCAAGCTTGGGTCTCAAGACAAGCTGCAAAGTTATCCTTCTCTCTCTCTCTCTCTCTCTCTCTCTCGTTGGGCCCATCCGCCTGCCCGGCTCCCATACTAACCTTTATGTCCTACTTTTGAAGTGCAGCTGCTTTGCACAGCAAGCAGAGTGCTGTGCAGCAGCTGCTCAAGTGACAGGGGGAGTGTAGGATTGCAGGAGGTGAGTTGTAAAGCCTCTGCACCTGTGTAAAGTGCGCATTTGGTGTGCGTGCATGTGCAAAGTGTGTGCGCGTGTACAAAGTGCACCCACCAAGCCATGCCCACCAAACTGGTGGCATTTTTTTTTTTGAAATGAACCACTGACCCAGATGGACATTTCTTTCAACAATAGTAAAAAAAAAAGATTGCCAATAATAATAAGGAATAGTCTAGTTTCCTAAGCTTACGAAGCTACTTCCTCATTCCCCAACATAATTTGGTCTCAACTAATATGAATTATGAAAAGTAATTGAAAGCGTAGTCATTTCAATTTCTATCCCAAATTCCCAATAATTTATGAACACATTAAAAAGGTACTGCTTCAAAATAAAGTTTGTAAAGGTCAAACTGCCCATATATTTAAAGAAGTCAATCACTGTAATATCTCTTTTGGTCTTTTTCCTTAAAAGGGAGCACAGGTATCCTGATCTTCATTGACATGCTGGGGTGATGTTGAGGGAAAATAAAAACTAACTTTTTGCTTTGTATCAGCAGTCGCCAACTGGTGGGCCACAACCCAATGGTGGGCCGTGAGAAAATTTTGGAGGACCACAGAGAAATCTCAACCCCAGAGCACCACCCCAAAGCAATTAATCCAGGCTGTGCAGAAACACAAGGCTGCGCCGCCCACATGGACCACAGGAACCATCCCTGCCCACTCACTCCTTACCTGGAAACTTGCCTACTAAATTGCTATTTTTCCTTTTTCTGACCATCAGGTGTTCTGCTGTGCTGGGAGATTTAGATTAGCGAGGAAGCAAGAAATGGTTGCATTTCTTGCTTTCTAGCTAGTCTTTAGATCCCTTAGGACTGAAGGTTCCATTATTCAGTGCAGACTCATGGCAAGAAAATTTAAGAGACTGAGCTAACCAATGGCAGATAGATAGATCACTGAATGATTCTGTGAGCAACTCAATCTGCCTGCCTGCTTTGCCTGATTTTGGGTAAAAGTTGTTCTTTTTTAATAAAAAATTCAATATTTACATACATGGTGTGTTGTGAGATAATTTTATGAGTTTGATTGCAAGCAAATTTTATGTGACAGACTGAGCTAGCCAATGACAGATATATAGATCTCTGAATGAATCTGATTCTGTGAGAAACTCAATCTGCCTGCCTGCTTTGCCTGATTTTAGGTAAAAGTTGCTCTTTTGTATAAAAAAAAAATCAATATTTATATAAATATTTATAATATTTACATACAAGCCATGTCCAGCCAGTCACATGACCACCAAGCCACACCCACAAATTAGGCCATGCCCACAGAACCAGTTAGTGGTCCCTGGGATTTAAAATTATGAGTTTGGTGGTCCCTGAGGTCCAAAAGGCTGGCGACCCCTGCTTTGTGTTATATTCTCAATCCCAGTTTGGCAGTTTCAATGGCCAAAATGTAATGTATTCACACAAGGGCAATGTATTATATAGCTCGATTCCTATTTCTTGCTTTTCTGCATTTTCCTTTTCCTCAACCTGTAAGACCAGCCAAATTCTTCACTACAATGACTAAATGACCTTTAATAGATTGTTTAACCATGTTTTAGTGAACAAATAACAATAACCTGGATTTGGACAATACCCAGTTGTCACCAATATGGCTTCCAAATTATATTATCCTAAATCAAACCAAACAAATCTAATTATGGCTTGGTGTGCTATTTGAATCCAGACATACATTTGAACTAGTTGACTGTATGAATCACCTTTTATAAATGTAAACTCCATTACTCTAGTAATAGCTCAATTTATTTTTAATTGAGTCATTGACATACAAGGCTGACATACAGATGACAATTCTGTAAAAATTTCACATGAAAGACAGCCAGCATACACTAGAATGACTATTATTTTTAGACTACATTATACATATTAACAGCTGTAGATGATTTCATGCTAAATTTTTTGGGGGGAGGTGTTTTGCCAAAGAATAGTTTCATCATGACAAATTATAAGCTCCGTTGCCAAAAACAACAGAAAGAAAAATGCATAAACAATTTAAGCTCATTAATGGTGTTCAGCGAAAGTACAAATTTAACAGCATAATTCTCTTGAGGACAACTTGTTTCAATGTAGGAAGGATTTTCCTAAACAAATAATTAATGGGAGAATTCCAATTCTTTTTAAATAAAAAATAAAAAAACTGATTCTGCAGAAAGACCTGTACTACAAATAACTGGACAGCAAGCAACTGCTTAGCAGCAAGGAAGAAAGGAGGAATTTATCCAACTATGAAATTCTTATTTTCTTATTCTTACAGTACTTAGTTTTTGCTAACTGTACTTTGCATGCTACTGTTAAAAACGCTTAACTTAATTAAATGTGAAGACATATTTCTGCAAACACTAGAATATCATAATTTGGCTATGATTTCACATATTATCCTTAGTCCAAGAACAGCTCAAAAATCCTTTTAGAAAGAAGTCCTGTTTTTAATACTCCCCTTCGAAGAAATATCTTCATAAAAGAGAAGAGACAACGGCGTCATGCTAAGTTAGGCTAAAGAACGATCAGTTCAACATTTACTGGCCAGTCAGAGACATTCAAGGAATCCACAAGGAGAACATGTTTTTCCTCAAATAATTAGTTTTGTCATGTTGATGGTATATAAATAACAATTCCTGAGGATCCACCAAGGTTTGTGAAAAAGTAAGTTATTTCTTGAAAGGTATATATTATAATATAAATATTGTAGTTAGGTCCAAATTCTTGAGAGAAGGCAACAATTCAGCACACTCACAACAATTCAGCCACACTCCTCCATTTCAAGATATGAAATTTTAAAATGACTTGAAAGTTGACTTTTCTGTCTCTTAATTCCAATTTAGTCCACATGCTATGCCAGGACTACAAATTTTCCTTTATTTTTCTGTCAAACAATTAATTAACCCTTGAGCAGGCATGAATGCAGATGGAGCCAGGAATAGGCAGAATAAATCATAAACTAAAATTGCTTTTTTATTTTTTTAAAAAATATATAATTAAATACAGGTAATATGATTGCCCCCATTATAATGAATCACATTCCCCTTCTGTGACATTAAAATTTAGAGTTTTGTGCTTAGCTGTGAGGCCTAACTATGATGTTCCTTTATAGTAACACAGGCCTGATTCTGTTTATGGTGAATGAGAAAAAGCAGGAAAAAGTAAAATAAGTACAGGTACAACCACATTTGAGCACAAAACTTACGTTGCTAAGTGAGACATTTGTGAAGTGAAATTTGCCTCATTTTACAACCTTTCTTGAACCTTTCTTAAAGGAATCATTGCAATTGTTAACTTAGTCACTTGGTTGTTAAATGAATCTGGTTTACACATTGACTGCTTGTCAGAAAGTTGCAAAAGATGACTGCATGATCCCAGGACACTGCAATCATCATAAATGTGAGTCAGTTGCCAACTGACTGAATTTTGATCATGTGGCCATGGGTGTGGTACAACAGTTGTGTGAAAAATAGTCATGTCACTTTTTTCCAGTGATATTCTAACTTTCAGTGGTCGCTAAATGAACTGTTGTAAATCAAGGACTACCTGTAATCTCCCTATATGCTTTCCTGTTGTCTACTACTATTTTTTAATATTTTTTCTGAATTCTTCCTGCTTTTTAAGAAGGCACTAAGGCAATATACAAAATAATAAAGTAATTATTAATAGCAATAGCACTTAGACTTATATTCCGCTTCACAGTGCTTTACAGCCCGCTTTAAGCAGTTTACAGAGTTAGCATATTGGCCCCACAATTTAGGTCTTCATTTTACCCACCTCGGAAGAATGGAAGGCTGACTCAACCTTGAGCCAGGTGAGATTTGAACTGCCAAATAACAAATGGAGGTTTGTCTTTTGAAAATATTAAAATAGCAACACAATAATTTAGAAGAGCATTTTCAAAAGGTCTTCTTTCCTAAAAATAAAGTGAAGTCTAACCATAAATCAGAAAAGAAGATATGCCATAATTTGAAAGCAGGATAAAGCTCTTTGTGATGAATTCCAGAACAGTATGACTGTGAGTCAATATTCTTAAAACTACCATCCACGAAAGAACTAGCTGTGAGGGATGCCAGTGCCAGTAATCAAACAATAAGGCTGGAGTGTGGAACAAGCAGCCTTATGACTGAAGCATAATATGAATGGTTAACACTGAAGCATAACAGCTGACTATTGAAAGTTGACATTTGAATATATCTTCCGAGCCATAACTATATTTATAATGCAATGCGGCTGCTTCTAACTAACATAGGTTATATGACAAAGATGGTATCAGGGCAACAGTTGATACTTTTTAAAGATAAAGAAATAGGAACCAAGGCAAACAAAAACAAGATGGTTGGCTGGCTATGGTTTTGTGTTTCAAGTTGAAATTAATAGTAAGTCTCATCTGAAAAAAAGTTGGAGAATACCATTTCCAGTGTCAATCTTGGCTCAGTTAGATATATTTTTAAAAAGGTTTCTGACCACAGTAACCTAAATAAGAAGGATACAGCAGGCTGTGATGTGAGGATGGTAATTACTAGATGCAGTCAATAACAGTTCTCTTCAGAATGATTGCAAATCCAGTACAGCCATGACCGGCACAAAATTGCTTCAGAACAATCAATAGGAATCTCCTGATTGCATTCTCTGGTATATGGTTCAAATAGAAAGAGGAAAAAATGCCAATTCAAACAAAAGATCAATTTTACAAACAAACAAATAAATAAATATAGCCTAAATCTAATATGAATTAGTTTTGGTCAATGAGCAGATTTATTGTGAGTGAGTGTGAAAATTAGGAAAAGCCAAATAAATCCTTCCATGCTTTCAGAAAACAAAAGAAAAAATTGGCAGTAAATGATTAAGGTTGCCTACTAAATGCTAAAGACTTTGTTTTGGTTTCATCCTGACACATGATTGTGCATATATGAAAAGCAGCAATTGCTAAATACTTTTGTGCATGTGACATATGTGAAAAAGGACAAGCTCTGGTCATGAAGTTGCTGACCTTTCTCACCTCTTCTACATGAATAATTCTGGCAATAGGCCAAAATCTAAAACTAGATTCTGTATGTTGAAATTATTTTCTTTGAATATTCCTCCTGGCTAATCCTGCATTTGACAAAATCTTGGATCCAAATTTGGAAATTTAGTTAGCAGTATTTCCTCATTTCTTTCCTTAGGAGTGTCAAACTAGTAGCCCATGGGCTGGATATGTCACACACAGGCCACGCCCACCCCAACTCCTCAAAGGCAAAAAACCATCATGATACGTCACATGACATCAATGTGACGTGGTGAGTTTGACACCCGTGCTCTAGCTTGATGCACTAATAGACATTTCTCTTCATTCGCCTTATTTACCATTACTTCAGTTATCCTTTTAATGAGTACAGTGTATTTCACAATTATTATGTTGAATACCACCTTTCCCATTCTGTGAATGATTTCTGACATGAAGCTCACTACACTTATTTAATTTAGCAAATGGAACAATAGAATAGAATCACTTGATAAGAAAAGCTTAGCATACCTATATTTCGGCATAAGAAAAGATTAGCTCTTTTACCATGAGATCAACCAAGGATCAGCCATCTTTTTTTACCTTTGAATTCACACAGGAGAGGCTTCAGCCCAAGTCATCTTTCTTGAACCTTTGCTGTATTTTTAGTGAATTTCATGGTGATATAACACAAATATTTCTACAAACGTGAGAGGTTTGTGAGGAGATAATATGTACCAAGCATCCATGGGTTGCTTCACATATGTGAGCGGTTATAATCAAAGATAAATTGCAGCTACACTAAACATGCAAATGAGTTACTTCACAGTTATAAATCTTGGGGGGTAGGGGATAAGGTTACAATAGTATTACATTGCAGCTTCCACTGCCAGCCTTATGTTTTTTTCTCCCTCTTCTACACCTTTATATTATGTGATCAAACTGTTAACTACACATCTCTGTATTGTTAGGAATCATGCAGATAGCTAATTCCCTTGCTAATACATATTCTTGTGAC